AAAAAAAAAAAAAATTAAATTGTATCTACTTTCTTATTTATTTATTTTTTCACAAATTAATATTTATTAAAATTAACCTATCTAATCTAATAATTTTATAAAAGATGGAATAAAATTGATCCAAAATTTTAATGTGCATCAATAGAATATTTGAACAGAAAACATCATGAGAAATAAGATATGATAATTAATTGAAGATTAAAAGTAAAAAAATGCAACGGAACATCGTTAAGGTGGTTCGCACGTGAACAAACATCTTGGCTAAAGAAACGGAACCGAACCTCGTCAGCCTCGAGAGGGGAAGCGAATGGCTAGCCTGTTTTCCTTCAATAAATTGTATTCCCCATCCCTCAACGCCTACTTTAGAGCGGATGAAAGAGGGGCTTGCACGATCATTTCACAAAAGACAAGAACCTCGTAACTCATATTTCTCGCCACATGATCGACTTTTTTGGAGAGACCATGGAATATTTAAAAAAATTTGCGTCTTCATGGTAATGCAGGAGCACACTTGAAAACATAGTGGGTTGAATTAGTATTGAGGTGGATTCTCGAGCTTGATTTTAGGTGATAGAAGTTAAATTGCAATCGTGCAAATCATTTATAGCTTCTGGATAAAGTTTGACAATAACCTATATCATATGGTGAGAGATCCACTGCCATGTATGCAAAAATCGTTACGAAGGAAACAAAATACAACAAAGATCGACTTGTGACAATGAACGAACTAATATACGGTCGACATGTGTCCAGAAGGTTTGAAAGGTCACAAGTATGGTTCACTTTAGTCTCGTATAATTACTCGATGAAAAAGAAAAAATAAACATTCAAACACTAGTCAACCCTCTTTCCATTTATCTCACTCACAATCAAATATTTTTTTCGATAATTATTTTGATCGTCAAGTGCAAACGATGTTTAAATTGTATTTTTATTATATAGGTAGACGAATAATGTATTTTACTTCTTATGGTTACACTCTTGGGCGGTGGGGATTGCTTTGGGGTTTGTACTTTGTTAAAATTTGGACAAATATTCAAAGCCACGAAGTCGTCATCTTCCTTGTTCAGTTTCGCACAGTTTACGTGATCCGCACAGAACTGACAGCGGATATTCAGTTGTAATGAAAATTGCATGCACTTGGAGTGTAAGTAAGTTGAATCGAGTCGATGTGAAGAGACAAGTCTATATTTGACTTAACTTTTATAAGGTTTCAGTTCTCGTCAAATGTTAAATTTGGATATTGAAACAAACAAAAATCCGATGAAATCCTACATCATTAAACCACAATAAAGATCATTTTCGAAACTCCAAAAGTTCTATTGTTGATTGGGAATAAGAAATCCGTTGAAAAAAATTGCCATATCTACTAACAAAATCCTATACTATAATGTAACGCACATTGTAATGTTTGGATATTGACTAAACGTGCCAAAATTAAAGAGCCTTTGTTGCAAATAAGGCTAAGTAATTGAGTTGATCCATTATGAATCCCTCATGTATTTGTATTTCTATATCCAACTAAATCCCTAAGATAAAATCATAAATAAATTACCTTTACATTATAGAAACGAGTTATGTTGTGCAAAGAACACTTGTGCCGTCTTTCCAAAATTAGTCTCTAACAACAAATTCGTTCTAAATTATCGTTAAATAATCAGATAATCCTCGTAGAAACATGTATCACTTCAAATTCTAGACACCAATCCAAGTTAGAAAAATCGAATCTAACTTAATAACGTTGGACCTACATAAGGCCACGTGATTTCTTAACAGACATATAGATAGTTTTGTTGTTTGAGTATTGATCACACGTGTTGTCATTTCCCATCGTCGTCAAAAATCCTCATTTTTTATAAAAAAAATCCCCTAAAATTCATCAAAAATTCCCGCACCGCCGTCTACTTCTCCATTATCTCACGCAACCAACCACTCCTCCTCTATTTTCCCACGCAACCTCCCATGGAATACACCTCAGGTTTGGATTATATTTTCGGGTTATGGATTGTTATGTTTTCGTATTTTCTCCCTATTCTTCTCTCCTCTAATTTTGTCAACCAACCTTTTTTTTGTAGGATTCGAAGTTTTCATTATCTGGTTTTTGAGAATGAGAAAAAGATTGTTCAAAGTAGTAATTGAAATAAGGTATTTTAATGCCAATTTGTTTTTCAATAGTTTTTAATTTTTTTGTTGTGAAGGTAGTTTCTATTAGCATGAATCTATTGTCATTTTTAAGCTCAATTTAACTATGTATTTTTGGATTTTTAGTTAATTTAATTGGTGATTGTTGGAATTGAATTTTACAGGCATGTTTAACTTTCTATGGATAAATTTAATATTTTCACATAATAAATTCCGTATTTGATGGGTGCTAATATAGTGTTTTNCAGCAGGTAATTAATGATTCCAAGGGGGTTTGTTATTTTAATTGTTTTCACATAATAAATTCCGTAGTTGATGGGGGCTAATATAGTGTTTTGGTGGGTTTAATGCAAATTGGTAGTATTTAGGTTGGAGCAGAAACTGTGCACATTAGATTTGGATTGGAGGCTAGAGCTCTAATGCTCAAAGCTGTTAAAGAGTTTGTTGAGGCAGTTAAAGTTACCATGGACCGAAGGTACTTCAATGATCATACTACTGCTCCTTGCGATGATAATTAGTTTTAATATATATTCCACTGATATCTATTTATTCAAGTTTGTATTTAGTTTTCAAGTTGTTTCAATTTTTTTGCTTTTTATCTCTACTTTAAGTTGTCTTTATCTGGTTTATCAAAATTGTGACCGACTAAAGTTTTGATTGTTGCAATTAGTGAAGGGCGTCATGTAGTGATTGGGTAAAGTTGGGGTGCCCCTAAAGTGACAAAGACATGGCATGGAGACACGAGAATGTGCTTCCGTGCCCCGTGCCTCTTTCTGCGTCACAGAGGCATGAGAATAAAGTGACAATGACCCGTGTCTCCGTGAGGTGCACAGACGCGCACGGAGACATGGCCTTGTGTCTTCGTGCCACATGCACGGAGACAATTTTTTTTTTAACAATGTGATACAATTTTTAAAATTGTCCCAAAACAATTAGGTTGTGGAGAGAGAGAAAAAATAAGATGGGTATGAAGAGGGTGTGTAGGATTTTTTCCTTTCTTTTTTTAATTGGATCATATTACAACTGTAGATTGTTGCTCAAACTATATTGTAATAAGATGTATACAAATTTTTTTTCTATATTTCAATATGTAAAAATGATAAAACATCTTCACATTTTCTGACCCCACTAAAAACACAACTTCATTATATAAACGAAAATTAGAATTCCTTTCGGGAGCAACCTCGACCCCTGCAACCTCACCGGTCAGGTCGATACCATCGAGGGAGTTGCCTTCGAACCCCCGCGACCTCAATGGTCACGTCGATCACCGTAGGGGGCATTGCCCTCAAACCCCACGACAGCGCAGACCATGTGTGCTTTAATATCATTGTACTAATTATAGTTAATGCCATCCTTCGAGTTGAGCTGCTGATATTCATCTGTTTTGGTATTTTACTCAATCTGCAAAAGTTTCTCAAATACAATTTTTTTCTTCTTTGATACATATTCACTGGTGAATTGATAGTTAATGTCATTTTTCTTTTTGAATTAGTGAACAATTTTGTCAGATTAGATTAATGTTGCATGTAATACAATTTTTCATATTCTCAAAG